AATCCTCCTTGTCTAGAAGTCTGCCACGTATCCCTCTTTTAAGGTATAAATCAGCAATAAATTCCATGATCTTCTTATTTATCATTTTGATATATGGCTTATATCGTGGTACACGTTTATCCAATTTCTCTTGCATTAGTCTCTGTTGTCCCTCTGTCGAGATATCAGTCATATTGTTCCTATAAACATCATAAATTTTCGCCACATTATTTTTTGTAAAACGAAGTTAATGGTGTGTCCACCGCTTGTTCGCGCTTGAGTTGCAAACGAACCTAAATATTTAAATGTACGGTAAGGATGTTCTTCGTCAAAGAAGAAGGTTGACTTATGTTCTTTCTTTATCAATTCTAATCTAGTCTTATACAAAGTGTCATCTTCTAATTTCTCATCATATATTAAACCTTTCTCTCCCTTCATTAATATGGGTCCTTTCATCTGGATCGGTAACATAGATCTAGCTGGTGTATTAAATCTGCTATTCAATATTTCCATTACACGTTGTGTCGTGCCCCATAGATTGTTTCTAGGACCACTTATGAAATACATCTCGGCTGAAGAGTTTCTACTTACCTCACTTCGATATAAACCTCCTCCGAAACGATTGTATATTTTCTAATTTCCCTAAAATTCCTTGATCATATGGAGTTAGTACCTTAACACAAAACCCCATATGTGGATTCTTGTCTAACCAATTTTCCAAAGTTTCTAATTTTTTAAACTTCTTTTAACCTCACATAAGGTATCTGGATTGGCCTCACCAATATCTATATATAGTCCCAATTTTTGTCGAAAAGAACAAGTGTAATTTTATTTTGTGTGATAATTAAAATGTCAAAAGTGTTGGAACGATATGTTGTTTGGGATCATATTATTGGAAGGGAATTTGGATATGTTAGAGACGGTATAGGGGCTGTGTCCCTAATTATTTGATGAAAAGATAATTAATTACTCGGCGTGCAAAGCCTAGGCTTAGGAAGCAGTGGGCCAAAAAGAAAAAAAAAGAGGAACAATTATTTATTTTTGTGAAGAAATTTTTTTTTCCGTTAAAAGTTTTGTAAAGAAATTTTTTTTCGTTAAAAGTTATAATTTTTTTGTAAGTTAAATAAAATTGGTGATTACCTGGAATTATAAAAGAGAAATTTGTTACAAAGTACGTATTTTGTAAGGATTATATAGTATAGAATATATTTAGGTGGATAGTCAAAATGGATCCGAATAATGCTCCGGGTGTGCGTAGAAGTTGGATTTGTGGGAATTATGAAGTGCTACTCATGGTGCGGCCCCATAGGATCGGGGGCAGGGGTCGGGGAAGCGGATGGAAGACGGTGTTATCGCTGCCAGGAACGAGGGCATATTCAATATAGATGTACATGGAATCGGGAAAGGAGGGCAGATCGTAATCGGTCGGGACAAGCTCGAGCAAGGATGGCAGAGGTTTCAGCGAGGCCGATAGCGGCGATTGTGGGGGCTCGGACGGAGCGAGTAAGGAGCAGTGAATCGAGGCCGGTCGCAGAAATTACGAGAGCGAGCAGAGATGAAGAAAAGGGAGGCGGTGAATCAAGGCCGGTCGCAGAAATTGTGGGAACGAGGAGAGAGGAAGAAGAGGAGCAGCGTGAAGAGCGTCCAACAGCTAGCGTGGAATGGCCCATCGTTGATTTAACAGTTGAAGGCACAAACGAGAGGACGCAGGGAAACGGTATAACGAGAGGAGAGGATATCACGGCAGCCGAGCGTAAAGAAACTAGTCTAGGAGTGATTGGAACTGAAGAATGGAGGGATCTCGTGGCCGTTTTGGACGATGTTGATGAGCTGGAAGGCTGGTTGGATGTAATGGTGGAGGATTCGGAATGGGGCAACCTCTGGGAGAAGGGGGTGGATGATCATCTTTGTTGAAGGGGGCGTGCTAAGGGAGCACTTATTAAGCTTAGCACTAGAGTAGATAATGGCGTAATATATGAATAACAAGGAGTTGAATTAATAAATATTAAAAAAGAGTTGATTGACTTGTAATAAATAAAATAATAAATAAACGGGATGAATTTGTAAAAAAACAAATCGCGAAAAGAAAAACAAACGATATTTATTATTATATAATATATTTTTTTATGTACAATATATATTTTATCGATTTTTATTGAAGAAAAAATAAAGAAACATTGAAGAAAAAATAATTAAAAATAAAGAAAAATAGAAAAAAATATAAATAGGGTTAATTAACGAAATTTAACACTTTCGATCTATCAAAAATGGAGAATCCATGGATATTATTAGAATAATAGATACTGGAAAGCAAGAACTAGCCTTGCAAAATAGATCAAGACTAACGCTAATAATTGACGCTATCCTGGTATGTGGCATCCAAGGTATCGCTCTTAGAGGTCATAGAGATAGCGGTGCGATATTTGATAATGAACAACAATAAAGATGGTAACCTAAGGGCTATTCTCGAAATAGATCTCATGGAGATCCCATACTTAGAGAAAATTTATTAAATTGTCCTAAAAATGCGACCTACTTGAGCTCAATAATTCAGTATGAAATCATCGATGCCTACAATGAATTAATAGTGAAGAAAATTATTACAAATATCAATAAATCACCCTACTTTTCGGTCTTGGCTGATGAGACAACAGATGTCTCTGGAGTAGAACAAATGTCTTTATGTGTGCGCTATATAAGCCTGGATGGTAAGCTTATAATTTTATTGATAATAAAAAAAATTATACATCATAGGTGATATACAAATATTGGAAGAATTTTTACAATTTATACTTGTTGTGGATATGAGAGGGGAGGCTTTCGCCAAAACTATTTTTTTAAATTTAGAGAAATAAGTTAAATTTAAATTTGATGCAAGGACAAGGTTATGATGGTGCTCCGGCTATGAGTGGCAAGCACATATTTTAAAAAAATATCCCTCCACTATATATGTTCATTGTGCATCTCATTCGTTGAATGCAATATCCGATTCATGTGCTCTACCTTCTATACGCAATTCCATGGGTATTTTAACTTATAAAATAAATTAAATATATTTTTAGCCATTATATCCAAAATTTATGATTTTTTTAAATATCCCAAACGGTCAGATGTTTTAAATCGAACTATATCAATGAATGCACCCGAAACACATCATCAAAAATTTTTAAAAAATGTGCCCTACACGATGGGGTTTACGTCGTGATTCAGTTTCGGCATTTATAGAACTCAAAGAGATGATAAGAATATATTTGATGAAATTACTAAATGGCAAGATAGTAATGTCGTCAGAAGCGATATCATTATTGAATTCAATTGATCAATCAGAGTTTATCATTGCTGCTAGTTACATCAATAAATTATTTTCCTATAGTTCAATACTTTGTAGAAATCTACAAAAACCAAATTTAGATTTGGTTCAGGTAATTGATTTGGCAGAAAATATATATGAACAGGTGGATAAAATAAGAACGAATATCGATGAATATTTTCATAATATTTATGTAGATATTGATTTGAAGGCTCAATTTTATGATATATCAATAATTAAACCCGTCTAGCACCAAGGCAATTAATGAGATGAAATATAAATATTGGATCAACTGAAGATTATTATAAAATATCTATTTTTATCCCATTCTTGGACACTTTTTTATCACAAATAAAAGTACGATTTTTAGATAAAAAACAAGTCTTTGCAATTCTTAAAGTTTTATTGCCCAAAGATCCCTCCTCATTTTCTAATGCCACGATTGATAAAATAAAATATTTAGCCAAATTTTATTCGTACGATATTGATTCGGAGATAAATTTAATCAGCGAATTTGAATTATGGTATAAATATTTATTATGTTTAACTATTTTACCTGAGCATGCCATTGATGCGCTAAATCGTTGTAAAGATATCTTGAATAAATTTCCCAATATTTTGAAGTTATTTTATATTCTTGCATGTTTGCCTATTACAACATGCACGAATGAAAGGACATTTTCAAACTTGAGAAGGCTGAAGACATTTTTACAAAGTAATATTTCAGAATCTTGGCTAAATAACGATGAACAAAATTCTAGATGAATTGGCAACATCCACACGAAAATTAAAAATTACATTATAGTTATAGTGTTTAATAAACTTTTTGATAATATTGTATTTGATAGAAGTTATAAAAACTTGTTTTTTAAATTATTTATTAGTCAATATTTTAAACACTAGTATTTTCAATAAAAAAAAATTTATTCTACTTATATTGTATGAGAATTTAAGCAGAGGCTAGTTTTTAAATCAAATTTTAAATGTATACTTTATTTCAACTTTACATTTAAAAAAACTTTATTAAATATAACATACCTAACTTAAAATAATAAAAAATAGGCTTGTTATATCATTAGGCACAAATTAGTAAATAAAAGTTAAAAATAGGAAAATCCTGGATACACCACTGGCTCCTAGAAATCAAATTTTAAAAAACAAAAAAAAGAGTTGAAGGCATGTATATATTTCATAAAGTTATTTTGGAAACTGTAAAACTGGGAGGATTTTGGATATTGCAAGTAGACCTAGAAGGAACTTATCCAGACAGATGAGAGAGAAATGAATTTAGATAAGCTAAACTTCACTTCAAATTAACCAAAGACAAAGCATTAAAGATTTGTATATTAATATTAGTTTTGGCTAAGTTTAAATCTCTCCATGACCTGAAAAAAGGTTGGCAGATATAATAACTAAATTTACTTTGGTTTACAAATAGCCCAGCAAGGAGTATTAAAAAAAATACAGGCTTACCTGAATATTTAATATAATAAAAATATGGCCCAACCTAAGTACCCAGGCCAGGCTTAGTGCCAGATCTGCAGGTCTTTGAGTAATAGTAACTGAATATTTACAATTATAATTTTTAAAAAGTTTTAAGTCATTAATTTTGATACTGTTCTTATAATTCAACAATTCTTTTTTATAATTTAAAAAATATTTATAAATATTATCATAACAAAATAGTTATAATATATATAACAGAACTTACACACACAATCTTGATTGTTCTTAGATTGGCATTCTAAACAGGAATCTTTATTAAAAAAATTTTAGTTAGGATTTATAAGAATTTATATATTCATAACTATTTTAAACACTTTTAATTATAACTGAGTTTAGCGTTTAAATCATGTTAAGCACAATATATATAAAACAAATATATATTTAGAGGCATGTATAAATTACCCATAATATTGGAGCGACATATCGCACAATTTTCAGTTTGAACATCCCAGCTCCACATAGCAACACCATTCCATTTTTTTAGATGGAATATATTTTCATTTTCTGACATCCTATAGAAAATTAATCATTTGTTACATTCAATGAAAGCTGACATATTATGATGACTAAGTGTCATAGAAAATTTTTTAAATATTCCTTTTACTTTCATCAAAGCGTAATTTTCCGTCAAGAATTCTGATCAAATTATTGACAACAAAAAAGGTTATTTATTTCCAAAATATAAAAAATATTATGGAAAACCTTATTGAAAATGCTGATAAATCCTTTTTTAATATTAAAATGTGGCAAAAACATTTTCCTTAAGTTTTTTAACTTTAACATAATTCTTTTTAAGTTTTACAACTTTTGTAACAAGTTTTGAACACAACTTAATTAATCAACCGTTTGTTAGCAACCAATTTTATACATCGAGTGGATATATCATTTATCCATTTTTAATTTTACCTGCAAAGCATGTTTTTAAAAGGTATCATAATTTTAATCATTCTTAATCAAGCTTTTGGTAAAAAAATTAATATCTACACCGATTATTTATGTTGATTAATATATTAATCTATATTTTAAAGTTGCTGAATCAATAAAATGTTATCAATGTAGTTCAGATGAACGACGTTCATCTGTAAAGGATGACTCTTATTGTGGTGCTTGGGGAAAATTTGATCCAGGTAGACATGAACTTGTTGATTGCCAAAGTAACAAAGCCAACACACCAGGGTTATTTTGTTTAAAAGAAACACGTGAGAGTGCAGGAGGTTATATTTTATTAATCCTTAATTATATAGCCAACATATTTTTTTTTACATGTAAGCTTAAATAATTGTTATAAGTAATATAGATTTATCTAATATTCTATGTATATTATATAAAAGTTTGGGGTCCATGGAAAACAGTTATACGACGATGTGCTGAAAAATCTAGCCAGGGTGTATCTGGTAGTTGTGAACAAAGTATAACAAATACAGGCATTCAAATATACACTTGCTCATGCAATAATGATGGATGCAATGCTGCCTTACCCTCTATAACTCTTAAAACTTCCACTATTTTTATATTATTTATAATTTTTTTATTGATATCTTTTTTATAAAATGCTCCATTTTTGTACAACATTTTGTAGTGCTTAATACTTTATATTTATTAAGTTACTGTACATTTACAATCACCTTTATGATACCAAATTTTTTATAAAATCAATCAAAAAATTATTATGCATCATATCAAATAATCTCAAATTTTTTTAAATAACTTTATTGATATAAATATTAATTTATGTGATATATAAATTAAAGGCCTGAATATTTAAGATATAAACAACTTATATCATTTTATGTATATTTTACATATATTCAAATATATATTATTTTTCATATAAAATATATATAATATCACTAATTTATTTTTTTATGTTAAATTTTAAATATTAAACAATATACAAAAAATGTGTTCACAGCCATGGGTCTTAAGATACAAAGAAAATTTCCCCATATCCTGATGCCTACTATTTCTTTGTTTATTATTATCAAATATTTGAGTCTCAGAACCGATTTCAAAACCATCATATTTTGTATCAGATAATACAATTTCCTTGAAACCCTCAAACTTTTTGTCATATCTGAAATTATCTTTTGACAAAAAATGTTTTTTGTTATCGATGATTGATATTTCTTCTTCATGTTTAAGCATTATTTTTTTCCAAGTTAACCGCTTAACAGCATTCCAAAAAATTTGACAAGATGTGGTAAGACCTTCAATGCAAATTATACCTGGTTTTCCAGGTAAAACAAAACCAGTTAAATCATTTTCTTGGGCTGTTTGTAGTAAAAACTTTCGCTTGGAGGGGTTGTAAATGTGATGACTATATATCCAATAACGAGAATAAGTTGTAGGATTTGATGGGGTTTGAAATGAATTTTGGATGGGGTTTGATGATAAAGGGTTCTTTTAATAAAATTATTTTTTAAGGATTATAGATTTTGTTAAATTGCAATAATTTCAAAATTATCAATGAAAAAATTTTGAATGATAGAATTTTTTAAAAATGAAATTAGGTATGCATAATTCCTCATATTTGATTGCGAATACTAATGCATAAACACCTTAGGATTGAAATATAAGTTTTTTCTAATAATATTATAGAGAAGAAATATAAAAAAATATTAAGTATGAGTTAAGTGTAGGATTTAGAGACATGAAAGTCCATCTATAATCAAAATCATGCTTGGCTTTGGTTTTAAATTTAAATCAGCCTAATAATTAAGCCAAGCTTTTCCATACAAATAAACTTAAAAGGACAAAATAAATGTTATCTATTTTATTAATATAAAATGATAATTAAAATTTCTCAGAAATTATGACCAAAGACCTGGGGGCCCAGTCCTAAGCCCAGGTACATGAACCAAGCCAATTTTAATTTTTTTAATACCGTACTCAGACCTTAAAAAAATTTTATAACACCTGGCCTGGGCCTAAACAAAATTTGTTTTTCTAAGCAAAATTTTTTAAATTGCCCTTATTATTTATAAAAATAAATATAATGTATTTTAAAAAATCTAGGCCAGGTCTTAAAATATAACCAAAGGCTGGGATGTACCTTGGCAGGTCTCTGATTATGACAAAATTATTAGTAATTTTTATTTTATTTAACTTTATAAAAATATAGATTTTTTTCTATTAAAAATTTTTAAATTAAATTGGGTTTAATTTTTTTTAAAATAGGACAGGCTTCAATTAAAAAATGGGGATGGACTGGGCCAAAAAAATTTTAATTTATAGAACTTTCATGTAGCATTAATAACAAATTAGTATATTATCACACCAATGTATTTATGCACTGAGCAACTGTTAAATTCCAGGTATCGTCATGTTAATAAGTATATTTAAAAAAACCAGCTATTTTTCAATTTTCAAATACTTAACAATCGATTTAATTAAATTATGAATAATATATAAATTTTAGAAATAAATTCAATATTTTTACAACCTCCTCTAACCCATTAATTATTTCATCATTTAGGAAGTCCTGTATAAATTGGATCATATTAGAAATACGCAGTTCACCACTATTGCTTTTGCTTAAATATTTATTTAAGTTGATTAATTTTTGGTTCAAGATTTGTTGTTTATTCTTGGTTATATCATTTGTAAATATAGATATTACAGGATTAGAATCGCCTAAGGGGTATGTTTTTGGATACTCAACAAAAATTTCATATTTAATCTGCCTTAAAGTTTTATATAATTTTATGATAGATAATAATACTTTATCCCCATTAAATTTTAAATTATAAGATGGTAACATATTATTTAGAGAGTTTTCCTTTGGAAATATAAATTCTTCTTTATACATGTTTTTAATCATATCTATTTCTTGCATTTGCAGAATATAATTTTCATCAGACATCATGTTAAAAACATGTGTTTTGTGAAAAGCCGTACTTATAAAGGTATGAAATAAAAAATATAGTAATGATGTATAGCCTTAAACGTTATTAATTTTTAAGTGATTTATTAAAATACTTGATAACGTTGAATTTTATCCTTATATACAAAATAATTTGATGATTTTGAGTATTGTCTGTGGTCTATTAGTACGTAAATCACAACCAGGTAGTATATTCGAATCTAGTAAAGGTCATGTATATTTTTTAAGCCAACTTGGTGGATATCTTCTTGGAGGGATAATATTTAATAGATCAGACTTGACCATATAATTTTGCTAATGTATATTAATAAATAAATGGATCTTTTGCATGTTAACAAATTTTAGTAGTTGTTTAGCAAGCTAACTAATATCATTATCCTAAAAAAATCTGTAAATAAAAAGTAATAAATTACAAAGGAAACCTATCTTATAATATCATTTTACTATAATTTTATTTTCTATGAGAAATAAATAAATAAAATGAAAATTTACATATAATATTTAGACCGCCTTCTTTTTTTTTGAATAGCATGGGACGCGTTCTTTTTTCACAAGGTAATAGAAAAAGACATTTTTCTAAGGTAACGAGTGACGCGTTTCCTTTTTGAAGTAAGGTTTATAGGACTAATTTTTATATATAATTTCTTACATATGTTAATCATTTGGAAAGTCTGCTCGCTTTAGACATATCCGTTTTTCCCTAAAAATTATAAAATCGCTTTATAGTGTGCTTTTAACAAAATATTATGGACATGTTCAAATCTCAGCAATAAAACAAAATTATCTGAAGTTTATATTTCAACAAGAAGTCACGTAACGATTTATATAATATATATTATATAGCTCTTATGTGAAAGATTAAAATGTTCGGCCTGATTATAGCTTTTGAAATATTATATACCATATAAAAAAAATTCTTGAGCAAAAAGGAACCTTTAAGAAAGTTTGTTATATGGAAAAATAATAAACAAAATACCAATTTTATTAACTAAAAAATACTCACAAAGTTGAAAAAAAATAGAAATGTGCGATGTGCCTAAAATGGGACAATCAAATTGAAATTTTTATGAATTTCTTTATTTTCTTATCGCTTTAATTTTTTTTATACCTTTACAATCTCCAGGGGCTCAAAATTTTCTTTTTAAAAATTATTTTCCAAATGATCTGTTTTAGTTAACATTTTCGGAAAGACCATTTTTTGCGTATAAAAAAAATCAAAATTTCGGGGGCTTTTCAAATGTTTCTAAGGGCTCGAGCCCCTGAGCCACCTCTCCCAGTTACTCTAATGCAGGGTTTCGAACCGTTTAGTATAACGGTTCGGTTCGTTCCGGTTTTTAATTTAAAATTTTATAAAGGTTTTGTTCCATTTCGGTTTTTTAAAAAAAAATCATATCGGTTCGGTTCGGTTCGGTTTATAATTTATAACGGTTCTTTTCGGTTTGTTCCGGTTTTTATAAATTTAATTTTAAAAAAAATTAATCATTAACCATGTATTTAATTTTAGAGAAAAATCTTTTTAGTTTATAATTTCTTATTTAATTTATCCATGATAAACTAATAGATATTTTTATTAAATTTAGGAAATATAAATTAGACAAATTATTATTTTTTATTTCATAAATAAATAAGATAAAAACAAACATGCATAAATACAATAATGAATAAAATAATATGTATAGTATACTATTTAGGTTTAAAAAGAGAATTCGAACGGATAACTAAAATATTTTCTAATATTTCAGGATTTAATTTAGTTCTCTGCGCAGAGAGTATAAACTTAAGGTTTGAAAATGCTCTTTCTACGGAGACCTGCGTAGCTGGAACTGCTAGCACAGTTATAGCTAACTTATAAAGTTCTGGCATACTATTCTTTACATTTTCCCAATAATTCAAAAGATTAGTATCTTTTTCGAATCTCTCTATATTATCAAATGACCGAATTATATATTCTATTTCTATACATTTATTATAATTTTCTATGCCCCGAGAATTATTCTTATTAAGACTTTCATGCGACTTTAATAAATCTTCAAAATCATCATCTAAATTATCCTTCGATTACGAATACGTAGGCATAGTATTTAGAATTTCAATATTCTGATTATTTAGATTTTGTATCAAGTTCCAAGTTTTACAAAGATGTTTTCTGGCGATATCTCTTTCTTCAAAAGTTAAAAATACATTATATCTAGGGTCGAGATAAATAGCAGAGCAAAAAACTTCATTTTTGAAATTTATTTCTCATGCTTTCATCGTAGAAACTAAAAGTCTGGCAAATGGAATGTCTACTTTACTCGTTTGCATGAGACATTTGATCCACGCAGCATAAAAATCGCTCATTTGTCAATTGTTCACTTTGTAAATATTTTGTCAAAACATAAGCTGGATATAAAGCTTATAATATGTCACTAATTATTTTCCATTCATTCTCTGATAAACATTTTTCGCGATCGCTTTGGAGCGATATTTCTTGGCAAAAGCTTTTTAACTCTAGTAATCTCTCCAACATTAAAAAGATAGAATTCCATCTTGTGCAACAATCTATTAGTGGTTTTTTCAAATTTAATTTTGAGAGAATAGCCATTGTTGTCTGATTTCTTATTTTTTTGCAGATGTTTCTTGCTTTATTTATAATGACAATTTCATTTGAATATTTAATGCAATCATTAATTGCTAATTGAAATGTATGTTTAGCACATCTAATACCTATTAATATGGATCTGGCATTTGATGCAAGATTAATATTTTTAATATTAAGTTCTTTATTTTCATCATGAATTATATCATTATTATTTAAATCATCATTCTATATCATTATTTTTTAAATCATCATTAAATAATCGTTACGGTCATCATCTTCTAATCATATTTGCTGCATTATCGGTGGTTATTGTGTAAATCTGCTCAATTTTTATTTCATATTCTTTTAGAACATCTAGAATAATTTTTTTAAGATATTCTGATGTGTGTCGTTCTTTAATCACTTTCATGCATAGAGTCCTTAATTTTATTTTTCCGTTATTTATAAATTGAATATTGATCCCCAATATGGACCTATCATATCTAGTTGCTATATCTAATTTTAACGAAATAAGTTTTTGATATACTTCCTTTTTTATATCCGAAAAATCTAACGCCATTTTTTTAATATTATTGCGTATATTTTCCGAATTGATAGTTAAATTTCCACCCAATCCTATAATTATTGGATCTATATTATTTCGAAATGCTTTGTCGTCAATTTATTTTTTTTTGGCCTACCGTGAACTGTTATTAGCTCGGTGCAGGAGGGGATTAAAGTTTCTTTATTTATATTGATTTGTATTGTAGTAGTGTTGGACTTAAAAGCATTTTGGATTGTATTATACTGGTGTGCAGTTTTCGTTATAAAGTTAAATTTTCTTTCTTTTTTCTTAAAAATTTGAATTCCCTATTGTGGAATCTTTCTATATGTCGTTCAAGATTTGTAGAATGGTCCCCAGTTAAGACCTTTCCACAATCTTCTATTTTACAAATAGATTGATTTTTTATGATATCTAATTTAAAATAGGAACGTACAGGATTTGACTTTTCCCGAACCATTTAATAGATAACTAAAAAGCTATATGATGGTAGATGAAAATCTTTTATTATATAAATAGAATAAATAAAAAAGCTTAATAGAAACAATTTTACCTTCTTTTTATTTTTTTAAATAACTTGGATTATAGAATTTAAATGACAATAAATAAAATGGTCAGCAATAAATATTTTAATGATATAATAATTTTTTATTTATAAAAATTATATTTATTTTTAAATTCAGAATTCTAATATTTATTATTAAAATAATATGTTAGTTAGCATTTATCATTATCATATATGCAAAATAAAAAAAATATGATTAAAGAATCGCATTTGTAATGAATATTTTTCTAAATCTGTATTTTTAAATAATAAAAATCTTACTATAAATCTTCAGTTTAAATAAGTTAACTAACATTGCATTAAATTATTTTATACTTTTATTTATTTGTATTTTATATTAAATAGACTTACATTTAAAAATAGGAATTACATTTTGATGTTAAACTAAATATAACTAGTATAGTTTAATTCAAATTACCCACTCTGATATATTCTATATAAACTAAGATAAACTTTTTTTGAATATATCAATTAATAAGAAATTATTGTAAAACAATATTATATAAAAATTGGTCAGTACTTTATTTCTATTAGATGTTAATATAATATGACAGAATAGGTAATTTAAGTTAAACTATAGTATTTATATTTAGTTTGACATCAAAATGTAATTCCTATTTTTAATTCACTGTAAGCTTATTTAAATATAAAACACATTAATAAATATATAAAAGTATAAAAATAATTTAATGCAATGTTAATTAACTTATTTAAACAGAAGATTTATAGTAAGATTTTTATTATTTAAAAATACAGATTTAGAAAAATATTCATTACAAATGCCATTCTTTAATCATATTTTTTTATTTTGCATATATGATAATGGTAAATGCTAACTAACATATTATAATAATAAATAATTCATAATATTAGAATTCTGAATTTAAAAAAACAATGATTATAAATAAAAAATTATTATATCATTAAAATATTGCTGACTATTTTATTTATTGTCATTTAAATTCTATGATCCAAGTTTTTATAATTAGATAAAAAATAAACCATATAATATAAAAATGAATGTAAAAGGTACTTGATTTCTATTAGATGTTATTTATTATTAATAGAATTATATAATTTTTTCCTAATTATTAGCAGGTATTATTTTAAAAGCTTATTAATATCTTATATATAAATTTGTTAATTTAGCCAAGAATAATTATGTCTGATTTTAAGATATCTTATCTAATTAACAGATAAATTGTCTAATCTCTTATAAATTAAGTATTTAAAGAAAAAACAACAAACCTGGTATTATTTGATATATAATGTTGATAATATAAAAATATTTAATTTAATATATAATGTTGATAATATAGAAATATTTAATTTAAAAAGAAATCACCAATTTAAAAAATGCCCCCAAGGAAAATTAAAATTTTAAATTTAGGTTAATAATTTAAAATTAATTATTTTTAAAACCGTTTTGAACCGGTTTAAACCGGTTCAAAATATTTATAACGGTTCGGTTTGCTCTTTTAATATTTTCTTCTTAAAGGTTCGGTTAAGGTTACGGTTCAGAGAATCATAACGGTTCATTCCGGTTTTGCGGTTCGGTTCGAACCCCTGCTCTAATGTTAATTTATTCTTAAAGGTAACAATCAGATATCAAAATTGTAATATAAAAAAAATAAAACAACAAAATTATTTTCAATTTTATTATAAAATTTCTGTTGCTTAGACATTTTACGCTGGGTACAGGATAAAGTGACACACTTCACATAATAAAAGCTCCTAAAGTATCATAGGTAGAGACCTATATATTTTTATACTTTCTAAGTGAGAATTTGAACTATCTATAATTTGTTGTTTTCAATTTTTATGGTAAAAATGCAAAATACTAATTGTTTATCCCGAGCTCTCGTACTCGGTAAAAATGTTTAGAAATATTTATCTAAAATTTATGCAAGTCAAAATTTCAGTTAAATTCTGATCAGGCTTTTAGTTTTGCCATTGTCTTGTCCGTCCCTATCCTGTACAAAATTTTTTGTTCCGAAAAGTCAGGTCCGAAATAAAATTATTTGTCCGCCCAGCCCAAATTTATTTCAATATAGAAAAATTAAATCTTTTTTTCATTATAAAAAAATATTATCGCCTTTATTTCTTGCAAGAATTATATAATATAATAATTTTTTAACAAAATGTATTGATATCATATTTAAAAATTTGAGCCCGACTGGGGCCAAAAATTTTTTAAAAAAAATATTAGGCTTGACCATAGACTTATATTAACATAAACTGCTCAGCGCTAAATTTTATAATCATCCCTCATTTGGAATTCTCAAAGATACAAAATTCATTTTATTTTAATAAGTTTATGTTTATACTGATTTTAAGGTTAAAAATTTTATGTATTTATCAAAATTTATTTTTATTTTTTTTAATACTCATATAAATAACAAGATATAAAATCTTTCAAAATGATATAATATAAAAATAATTAACTATTGTTATCTCACATATAAATGAATAAAAAATTAAATATAAATATAGATATTAATAATTTTTTCTAATAACCCAACATGGTGGCTGATAGGGGCACCAGCTTGCAAGCTGGTGTGGAAGTAGCAGGTACATTCTTTGCGATCACATTACAAAGAACCTAAAAAAACTGATTACTTGACACACATGAAATTTCCGTAAATTCAGCACTCGCTTAGAATTTTACTAAAGAAGAAGAGCTGCTTATTTTAAAATTAAATTTTGTTGAATTTGATACCAATTCCCTTTATATACAACAATTAAGCATTTAATCAATTATTATTATGTAAGTTAATATAATATATAATTTTAATCTATAGCAGGATATTATATTATTAACTACATTAATTTAGTTTAATAAGGCCTGGTTGTAATTTAGTATTTAAAGTTAATCCATTATTGGAATTATGTTTACAAATTACAACTATAAGATCAATTAGCTCCATATAAATCTATATTATAGTTTTTTAAATTAAAATATGTAGTAATATTATATATTTATCCTTTTGTATATTGTTTGCGGCTTTAAGTTAGCATAATGGAAAATTTATATAATAATTTTCTTTTTCTCAAATAATAATATATACTAAATTGATTTAATATAGATACAAAAAAATACTATACGAAAAGCCACTTTTTGAATTATTACGGTTTCCTTTTTATATAATTAAATTTTGATTATTTGTTTTACGGAATAAATCGTTGTTCATTTAGAATTCTTATATCAAACATTATAGTTGTAACAGAGTTGTTAAAAAATCAAGATCAAAAGATCGACGATCTTGGACTCGTTCCTAAATTTGGCAATTTGCAGGATTTATGATCATGTTTTAGATTGAGGATCCGTCGTTATCATATAATTAATATTCTATCTCGATCCTTTTAAAAATTTATTTTTTTACTTAAATAGCAATAAATAAAATAAAAAATTTTGTAAATATATTTTTTTTAAAATATCTACATCAATATGACCTTCCGTCATATTTGTATTTCATAAATTTTAAGAGATTTAGAGCCTGCAAGTTTTATTTAATAATGTTTAATGTAATAAGTTACCTAATTAGTTGAAATAATATTCAAATAGTTTTTATATATAAGAAATAAATAAATATTATATATATATATTACTGATAAATCGTGAAAAAGATAATTATTTTACTATTACTTAAATAAATATCTTTAATTCTTGTATAACCTTTATACCTAAAATCCCTACAATATATTAAGAAAATAAAGTACTAAAAAATCTTCCGCAAGATAGAGCATTTAAAAAATTTGATATGTAAATATTTTTTTTATTAACAAAAATAGCCTTCACTTACAAGAGAGTATGAATATATATTTTATAATATAAAATGACATTAAATTTAAAATTCATGTAAAAGTTTTTCTTGTTCAGCAAATATAAGAATGCATCTTGTCCATATGTTTGATGAGCATATTTATATATTTTGTGCCCCTCTGCCCTCCCCCCAATTTCTGATAATTATTATCTTAAACCTTTAACAATCTTTATATAATGAGAATTAGGTTAAATCTGAATTATAATACATGAGTAAAAATATAATTCTATAATTTTAATTAATATTTTTTAATTAACAGACATAATGTTAAATATCTCTAACCTTTTTTCCCTATCATTTATATTTCTTATCACTTTATTATTAATGGTTGAATCAAAATGATTTATATATTTAAATTATTTAAGTTTCCAATTAACAGTAAAGCTCTTTAAAGTAGTGGACCCAATGCAGTTAAAAGAGAATTTTTTTAAACAGCATATTCTAGATCATGAATTATAATCCCTCAGTAATTTGCAAATATTCATTAAAAATATAATTTCTAGATATAAAAACATTTATTTCATCATTTTGAGAGAAAAGAATGCTTAAATTTAAAAATAAATATGATAAATAAATTAATTTAAAATATAATAATTTTAGGCCAATAATTTTTTTTTTCATTATATAAAACATATTTTCCTTTTCTTTTATGAACCTTTATGTTCTCATGAATATATAGGATTATTTTTAATTTTTATTTTATGTTGTGATTTATCAATTTATCTATTCTTCTTAAAAAATTAAAAAACTTTTACATGAATTTAAAATTTATATCATTTTATATTATAAAATATATATTCATATATTAAACCGCTATTTTTGTTACTTTATATTCTTATTATAAAAATTGTTGAAAATTTATATTTAATTTTTTATTTTATTAATAAAATAAAAATAGGATTATAAATACATAAAATATTCAATCTTAAATTCATTATAAATTAACAAAGACTTATTAAAATGATTGTTGTATCTTTGAAAATGGCGATTATTTTAATCAATAAAAGTCTATGGGTCTGGCCCACCCCGAACGGAAATTATTTTTTATAAATAAACCCGGCCCGGCTTGAAACCCGTTAATGCAGGGCTGTGCTTTGTAGATCTCTAGTATAAATTTAAAAAACTTTTTGTTTTAGATTGTATTTTATTACTAAGATCATTTTAAAAATAAACCAATGTACATTAAGTGAATATTATGATTATGATATAATATACTAATATTTTACAATAATACATAATAATATGATCAATTATTAATTTAATTTAAAATACAACACAGTTGTTTTCAATCCACTATAAATAATTAATGATAAATTATGAACGGCATAAATGAATGATAGTATAGTAATATTATAATAAATAGGTATATTTAGTGTATTTATCTATTCTTATGTTTTGCTATATTTACAGTCACAATCTAAATAATTAAATTCCTAAAACTAATTTATTTATATTAAGTAATGTAGTATTTGGTTGTTCAAGTATTACAGATTTTTAAAAATTAGATATATATATCGCTACCGCTAATATATTAAAAAGATGAGATATATTAAATGGAATTTGCTAAAAGGTTAAAATAACTAGATGTGATAAATTGTAGAATCATTTTGATTATTTTTGAAAAATTTTCATAATAATTATATTCCGTTTCCCTTAATATTCTTTCATGTTCCCGTGCACGCGAAATCTGTAGAGGCAGGTATAGTTGGGATTTCCCCAATTGCTTTCGATTTTTAATTCAACGTGATTGAAGTAACCAGCGTCGGGATTCTGAAAACAAATATCACATTATATACTACAGTGCATGTTTTTTTCATAACATTATACTTTACTAATTAAAGTAAAGTTATATAGTGTTGTTAAATCACCTAACTTGATCATCTCCAATGCGACTAAATCAAGCTTTTGGGCCTAATAAAAATAGAATTAAGCCCCTAAGTTGAGGAGTCGTCTCAACTTGAAGTTTAAGTTTTTGGAATAAAAAAAACATGGCTGCACTGTTTTATAGTTGGCTAAGGTTAGATAACTTAACAACACTAGTTACGTAGCTGAGCCCTCCCCCCCTCACTTTGATCGCAGTCTTCACTTAGGACCGCAGGAAATAATTCATCGAATAACTTTCCAACCTCCTCATAAAAAAAATAATTTGAGTTTTTCCGGGAAAATTTTCCGCTTACCCACTAGAGGAGCCTTGTTTAGATTTTTCAAGTGGCCAGACATTTTCTTGAACTCGGTCAGATCTCGATTTTTAAGTTTACATTTAGACCCAACCAGACTTCGGAGAATTTTAAAATTATTTTGTTTAAATAGTAATAAAAAAAATTTGTTTGGATTGGGCATCTAGAAATATTGGATTAATGTCTGGGACCAGTTCTTCGATTTCTTCTAGGGCTGTTCCAATATTCAATATCAGATCGGGTCGATATTTTTAAAAAAAACTGATCAGATTGTATATATATAATTATATAATTAGTATCTTTTTGTTTACGCAATTTTGATAAATTCATAAAAAAGGAACCAAAAATTTAATTTTATTTGTAATTTTCAAAAATATAAAATCGAATAATTTAAAAAATATTAAAAAAATTTGTAATATCTTTGCAGCAAGAAAAACGATTTTAAAATATCTAACGAGTCACTAAAGCTAGTGTTTTTAACAGCCAACTCAAGATATTAGCCAAAAATAAATTGGCAGAAAGGGTTGGACATCTATTGTCAAAATTTTGAAGCTTAGAAAATGATATTATGGCTAAAATCTTGATAACCGTTTCTGAAATTGTCGAAATCGAGCTGTTGAAAGAAGAACACTAAATTGCCAAAAAAACACTGCCCATATTTTAAATGGAATAATTAACTTTTTGAGAATAAAAACACTTCATGATTCGTGAAAAATTATTTTGAATAGAAATGACATTTATTCAAATATAGATGGGTAAATAAAATCAATTTAAATATCGGATAGGTTTTGTATTTTGCTGATCCTAAAAAGCTAATATAATGTAAAATTCTTGCCCCCCCCCTCCTTCTCGAAAAAGATGTTTAAATTAGTTTTACTTGAGATAAGAAGAGTTGTAATGGTCTGCCCGATTTCTCGTATCTGTACCTGCCCAATAAAACTCCATTTTCGTCTTTTTCATTCTTTAATCCCTTAAATTTAAAATTATAAGTTCATTTCGATTCGATTATTTTTTTTGGAAAATAATGTGGAATTAAGATGGAACGCACTTACACAAAGCTTAATATTTCACAAATTTAGAGTTGGAAAATATGATCAATTAAAAAAAATTATATTAATAATCGAAGATAATGGTAAGTGTTGTTAAACGGCTCGTTTTGAGCTGATTATTAAAAACGGCTAACTCATTATTTTAGCCAGAAAAAATATTGCCTAAGCCTCGAGATTTCGCTAAGTGATGTCAAGACTTTTGTGCCATCTATGAGCAAAAATCTTCAGGCTTATGTAATATCACTCTGGATAAAATATCGAGTTAGCCGTTTTTACAAATCGTCTCAAATCGAGCCGTTAAACAACACTAAATAAGGGTACTGTTTTTTTGTTTCTACCATATCTAGTGTTGTTAAACAGCTTGTTTTGAGCCGATTTTTAAAAACTGCTAATTCAATATTACATCCAGAAAAATATTAGACAAGCCTGAAGATTTTGCTCATAGAAGGAACAAAGTCTAGACATATATTAACGAAATCTCAAGGCTTAGGCATAATTTTTCTGGCTAAAATATTGAGTTAGCCGTTTTGAAAAATCGGCTCAAAACGAGCTATTTAACAACACTAACCATATCGCAACAAAACAATCATAATATTATTTACGAAAAATCTTTAAAGCTGTTTTTAAGGATGTGTTGAAAATTTTACCCAATTGTTTTTTTACAGAAGTTTTTTTCCTTATAAAGCTTACGTTAATAATTACTTCCGAAGATCAAAATTTTATTTAAAGCGCGAATCTTAAAATTTCGGAACAAAACCCGAACGTCTGGTTAATTTAAAATTTAATAATAGCCTCCGCAAAATTATTTCAAATAAACAAGTAAAACAATTGTCCCTAATTTTTTTTTCGATTTACCCAAACAGAGAAATCTTTGACGGCGCTGTCTATATCTCCAGAGGGTGAGAGTGATTTTGGAATGTGATCTATACTGAAAGAAGTGGGCTTAACGTTGGCAGCTAATTGAACAACGAAATAACCGCTGGAACCCTTGAAGGCCCAACATTGACCTGGTTGAGTGCCGGGCTTAAAAATTTATTTTTTTATGTATAAAGTAAAATTTTATTTTACTATTATTATAAATCTAAACTTCTAAGCGCATCTCTTAACCCAAACATCTTTCGTTCAATCTGTTCAAACCATCTCAGTCGATTTTTTCTCATCACCACTTTAATCGTTTTCTATTTTATATTTTTTTTAAAGTTGATATCCAGACGGTTGGTTTTACCAGAAACCTTTTAACTTTTCAAAACTTTTTCTTGCAATTAAAACAAATTTTTTTTTTGTTAAATGGACCAAAGTAATTTTTAATTCTTCTGTCAAAATTTTTTATTTAAAAAATATAAATGGGTTTAAGGAACAACTTTACACGTCAATAATTATAATTAGATTATTTTATCGACCTACATGATTTTATTTAAAATATTTTATAAATTTTGATCTTATATCATGATTTACATCCATAGTTAATGTTCGAAACTTTAAAAAATCTAGTAGGATTAATTTTATATAATAAGGTCTTAACGTGTATCCGGCAATTGACTTGAAAATTGATACACATTGCTGTTAAATAATGGATTATTTATATTAACGTTTGAGGTGTTAAATAATATTTTTTTTATTTAATGTTACAATAATATTTTTTGTCGATTAGTATTTAAATGTTTACTGTTTAAAGGCAATATTTGTAGATTGTGTATGTAAATTGGACATTTAACGTGTATCCGGCAATTGACTTGAAAATTGATACACATTGCTGTTAAATAATGGATTATTTATATTAACGTTTGAGGTGTTAAATAATATTTTTTTTATTTAATGTTACAATAATATTTTTTGTCGATTAGTATTTAAATGTTTACTGTTTAAAGGCAATATTTGTAGATTGTGTATGTAAATTGGACATTTTGTTTTATATTCAATTATGTTAAAAAAAAATTTAATTTTGTAAATCTAAATACATACATATAAAACTTTTCTTAAATAAATAAAATTTATTTTTTATACAAATTATAAGGATAATTTAATTTTCTGGAAATACATTATATTGTGAAGGCTTAGAGTTTATTTAAAAAAAAATTATATATGTGTTTAAAGTAGTGTTGTTAAAGGCTCGATTTGAGCCGATTTTTAAAAATAGCCAACTCGATGTTATTCAGAAAAATATTATGTAAGCTAAAAGATTTAAGGATTTTGCATATAGATGGCACAGAGGTTCGGACATCTATTGGCGGAATCTCGAAGCTTATGCAATATTTTTCTTGTTAAATAATTGAGTTAGCCGTTTTCAAAAATCGGATCAAATCCGGCTAACACTAGATAAGAGTCTAATTTAAAAAAAAAATCTTAAGAAAGATAAAATGATTGTTGAAATGATTATATTTAAAAAATTATACAATTACATGTTATACTATAAATTGTACAATTATAAAAGTCCCAGAATTTGACGAAGAAATAAAAATGTCCTTGGCTCAAGCAAAAGTTTACTTTATAGCAATTAGTCATAAAAATTCAAAGGGTCCTCGTGAAATATGTCCATTAGTAAATAAACTATAGAGGTGTAATAATGTAGGAAATCTAAAGGACATTTACAGCCTGGAGGAAAACCCCGACAAAAAATTTGCATGGGTTGCCTGACATTTTTTCGTCTTCCTGCTCAATATTAGTTTACTTTTTTAATCCTCATTAATTATTCTTTTTTCTCTTTAAAAAATTACTTGAATGGCGACCCGGGGAGAATTGGACCGATACCATATAGGCACACCGAGAAGCTTGATAAGGGCTGAGTGGGTGTCGAACGTCTCGGAACATCTTGTGCTAACGACGGAACCACCAGCCGACTCTAGGGCGTAGTCCGGCATGGCAAGTTGATCGGCTGAGTAGGTGTCTAACATTTCCTCGACTATACGTCGAATTTTCTTCAGTATTTAAAATTGTATACATAAAAATTTAATGGCAACAAAAAAGACAAACCGCAACCAATTTAATTTAAGAATATAAAATGGGTGATCTCCACTCTGGACAACTCCAATAAGAAATTATCAAAGCTTTTAAGCATTAAAAAAATTAACTTTGAATCTTTGAGCCTCAACTTAAAGATTGGGGCAAAGTGTAAGCATAAAACTTAGCTAACCCATTTTAAAGTGAGTCAAAGTCAAGTAAATTAGCAATTCTAATCCAACGGGAATCCCCCCCCCCCAAACCCTTTGAGTTAGGCACAAACGTTTTATACTTCAAAAAGGAAAATATTTTAGAATTTTTAAAAACACTGAATATAATATATGATTGTATCCATATTAAGAATTTTTACTCTTGGTTGTTATTTGTTTAATTTGGATTGGTCAGCTCATTTAAGTTTTAAATAAGAGAAATTTCATTCAAATATGAAAAAATAAAATAAAATGGAAACCTTTTCGTCTTCCGGACTCTTAGATACCGATTTGGAGCTGGTAGAACTGCGAGATCCTACCTGGATTTCCTTCATCATATTGCTCTTTAAGTCGAGTAAATCTTTATTGACCTTTATAGTCAATTGTTTAATTATGTATCAATAAAATAAATGATATGCGAAATATTAAGAAATATGTTTATATTTTTTTAAAAAAAGAAGAGATATAAAACGTACCCTTTCTAGATTGGATTGAAGGGATACCTTCAACTCGTCTAACTTGGAGTGCGAGGCAAAATGTTCTGTAAGCAAATTGGCCAGCCCTTCTTTCGTTTCCTTACTCATATCGCTTAAATTTACCTTTTTTTACAAAAAATAAATATTTTTGTACTGTACATGACATAATATATATTATATAAATCTTTCATGGATTAAATCAGTTTTCTGGACCTGGGTTTGGGGATGAAAAATTTGAAATCAAAATGGGTCCAACCTAGCCCCTATTCCGCTTCTTACCCAGAGCTAGTTTTTTTGATCCTAACTAATGTGATCAAATAATAGGTCAGACATTAAGATAATTATAGTTATAATGAACTCTCGTAATACAAGCTAAAAGACCTACGTCATAGTCGTATATAGTTTGAGTAGGGTAGAGGAGGATTTTCCCACCTTTATTAAATAAAAATTTGGAACGAAAAAAATTAATATGCCAAAAAAAATTTCTATGATCATAAGAATCGATATTTATATATGGTCCTCCAAAGTGACTAACTAAAATTTTATGGCAATTTATAATTTTTTTACAATAATGTGATTACTGACTTTTCCCGATCAAATATTGGGGCAGACAGAACAGTGATAAAAAAAAGTCCTATCTATATTGGACAAAGAATTAAACAGTTTTATAACACCATGAAATTTAGTTTTTGTCCCCCTTTTTTAAAATATATGGCGAATGTTATGTGTATCACCTCGGACAGCAACTCGTTTACGTCTGCAGCTCCACATTTTCCGGCGAACTTTTCCAAGTCGACATCGTTCGATCGAGCCTTATCGAGTTGCTGCGTCACGCGTTCCAAATCTCGCGAAAGTTTTTCCACACGACCGACAAGCCCCTGCGAGTCTCCGCCGGCGCGTATGGTGTCTAGCTCACTCATCAGGGATTTGTCGCGGGTCTTTTGCCGTTTTATATATCGTAACAAAAATTGAAAGGATATTTTAAATCATATTGGCTTTCGGTTTTAAAAAAGGGACAATTATAGACCTATTTAAGCAAAATATTCAGAAATCAATCAAATAATAACAATGCAGAATAATTTATTCAAAGTGGTCTATGACCCCCAAAAAAACCTTCTAGAATAAATTTAAATGAAGGCGAATAGTCTTTCCCTCACTCCTAAGAAACAAAGCGTTCAAAACAAGAGAAGTTCAACATCTAAGACCGTAACATACCCACCTGAACCTTAATCTTTCACAAATATGTGGTCTTTAAAAAAAATAAACGTTACATTTAAATTAATTATTTTGTGGCGGCAACTCACGATATCGATTTATAAGGAATAAATAATGCTATCATAATGTACCTCGACTTTCTCGCTGAAGGCTTTGAACTTGTTTCTGAGATCGTCCAGCACCCCAGTTAGGCCTTCGTAATAGCCCTCAGCTTTTCTATTGAAAGCTGATTTAACGCCATTTTGATCGAGCATTTCTTTCCTTATCTCTCGCAAACCCTTATCTACCGTTTCTTCGATTATGGTCTTCAAGTCTACCTCCTCTTCGTCCTCGTCCCCATTTGATTTGCTTTCCAAAATAATGATGCAATTTTGAATCGAAAAAAAAATTAATTGCGCAATTTTTATATTAACCGGTTCCGTTCTGTCAGTTAAAATACCCGATTGAATAATATAAGACTGCAGAATTAGCCATTTATAACGAGAAACCCTAAATATAATACAATGTGCATTGGTTGCAAAGGTTGGCGAATAATATATTTGTTTTCTATGTCTTAAATCATTTTATATTAAGAATCCAGTGATTATATTGACGGCTAAAAACGCGATGCCAAGGATAAAAAAGAGAAATTAGATGGGAATACGCAATATAATAAAGATAACCAAAAGGTACTAGAATCTAGACACAAGGGCGGATATAAAAATTAGAAATATATTTTCTTAAGAGCTAATAGTTGGTGAATTACCCAAAGACAAAAAAAGTAATAAAACAATAAATGGGGTCATTCCATATCAAATCCATCACTTTACAACCCAACCGTCTCAGATTTTTCTGAAGTTTGGTATATAAGTTAATGAAGTGTTGTAATTGACGAATCCAAAATATTAGCCCCTTAATCCTACTAAAACCAGAGATATAGGGTCTCAAAGTAGCTCTGCGAGGTCATTTTTCGAAAAAAATGATTTTTCAAAATTGGGATAACTTTAATATTAAATGTAGTATATTTATCTATCATGGCTCATTTTATAGCCCTAAGTAAACTCTTCCACATATTTTAAATGGAATTAATTTTTAATTTATAAAAAAATTTTAAATTGCGGTCAAAAATTTGTAATTAATTTTTTTTTACAATTTTCAGATACTTTGTAAAGAGTATCAACAACTGTTCATATAAAAATTTGTGGTAAAAAAAGAATTAAGTAGAAATAATCCAAAAAATAAAAAAATCGCTAGATGGCGTTAATAATTTTTAATAGCTTAAAATTTAATTTTTGAAAATATAAGTTAATCTACTTTTTATTTATATCATAATATTTGTTGAATAAAATCACATTTTAACAAAAAAATAAAATTTCCGCTAGATAGCGCAAGTACTAAAATAGATAAAAACCTCATTTTCGTGAAATATGTCAGTAGATATTTTTATTTATTCTATAATATTTAATGCTTAACATTCGTTAAAATAACAGGCTGGCAGTGGAGGATTGAAAATCATTTTTGAAATTTTGTCTTTGGAAGTCTTTATCTCAAAATCCTTATTTTTTGTTAAGGTTGCTAAATTGCTCCCTATTAGTGAAGAACTTAACGCTACATTTTACATGATCCATAATTCAAAAATCACTCTTCGTCAAAAAGGTCTTTCGACTCCTAATCCCATGGCGGGTAAAGCAATAGATCAAAACACAGTAGAAGTTATAAATTTTTTTATTTAAACTATGAATTTTATAGGCTATTGACCGGGAAAAAAGATTTTTCAATAATAGAAAAGGAAGAAAGAATTACTGTACAAAAAAGATTACATTTTAAGGATGCTTTCCCTGATCTTAAGATAGGATTTTAAACGTTTGCTTGCGCCCTAAAAATTGTATTATGCCTGGTTCAAGTGGCAGTCACTCGGTATGCGTTTGCCGCATACATCAAAATGTTAAAATATTACTAATAGGGAGCAATTTAGCAACCTTAACAAAAAAATAAGGATTTTGAGATAAAGACTAACAAAGACATAATTCCAAAAATGATTTGCAATCCTCCACTGCCAGCCTGTTATTTTGGCGAATGTCATGAATGTCCTAGGGACCAAGCATTAAATATTATAGAATAAATAAAAATATCTACTGACATATTTCACAAAAATGAGGTTTTTATCTATTTTAGAATACTTGCGCTATCAAAATATCTGAAAATTGGGAAAAAAAATTTTATACTAACATTTAAAAAAATTAATTACAAATTTTTGACCGCAATTTAAAAAATTTTTTATAAATTAAAAATTAATTCCATTCAAAATATGTGGAAGAGTTTACTTAGAGCTATAAAATGAGCCATGATAGATAAATATACTACATTTAATATTAAAGTTATCCCGATTTTAAAAAATCATTTTTTTCGAAAAATGACCTCGCAGAGCTACTTTGAGACCTATATCTCGAGTTCTAGTAGAGTTAAGGGGCTAATATTTTGGACTCGTCAATTACAACACTTGATTAACTTATATACAAATTTTAGCAAAATCTGAGATGGTCGGGTTGTAAAGTGATTGATTTGATAAGGAATGATGACCCATGGAAATATATTGAAAAATAGAATATCTTAAATAATTTTTTTATAGATGGAATTTTAAATGCTTATTTGTACTGTTTTTCAAAGGCAATTCAGTCTTCCACAACTGCAATAGATTATTTTCATTTTTATATAACAAAGATATAAGAGCTGATAGTAGTAATGAAACCCAAAATCGGTCTAACTGATTTTGACTGATAATGAATTGAGATCGGAATTTCTATATCGGAACATAAAAGCTGTGATAAAACCATGTTTAATTTTTTTAAACCATCCATAAATTAGTGAAAGTAGAACCATGAAAGAGAAGAGATAATTGAAAATATGGATGATAAAATTGACATAAATGGGTATCACTTTCCATTTGATTTAAAAGATATGAGAGTCAAACCTTTTCCTGATTTTTTTTTTCCACCAATCAGGATCGTACTTCTTAACCTCATCTGAGTCGGCCGATGGGGAAAAATAATTTTTCTCTAGTGACTCTAGCTTATTTTTCACGAAATCCAAATCCTTTATCAAAAAATCGAGTCCCCTTTTGAATATCCCTCTTTCGCTGGTATCGTTCAAATCGTAGCCGACACGCTCATCGGAAGAGGAGAATGGGTTCATATTATGCTTGAGCCATTTGGCCTGGTCGTAAACGTAGGATCTCGTGTCGTTCAGAATGAGGGAAGGATAACGCGTCAAGTTTTTAACGCCAGGGATGGCCGGAAGATTTTGAAATATCTTATCCTTTTCAATGTTGAAAATATAATGGGATATCATCATGTGTATTAAGTCCTTATTGGAAAATAGTGAGGGGGATCGATTGCCAAGGGGCAATTCCAAAATTATGACCGAAACTTATATTTGAACATGGATTAGAGTAACCCATACCTATAAATTTCAGAAAATTTTTGGGCAGCTCTTAATTAATAATCCTGAAATTTATAGGGACAAGTACGGTATTTTACACGTTATAGAATATACTTCTGGTCATAATATATAGTGGTTTTATCTTTTTTTCTTTCATTTTACCCCCAAAATAATCTCTATATTATATTTATTTATTGAACCTTATCATTTACAAAATAAAATAAGTAAAATATGTAACAAAATTTAGGGTAAAAATTTATTAAAACAAACGTATATTTGGGAGATGCACCTATGACACCCTTTTTATGCAATACCCCAAAAAATAATGTGATGCATTTATCGAAAAAAAAATTAAAGATATATTTATAAAAGGAAATTAGGGGTGTGTCGATATTTAGCGTTTTCGAAAAATATATGATCGGGCGGATATTATATTTATTGTTTTATGATTGTATACATAATTTATTAATAATATTTGTTGTAATGTTTAAAAAAAATAGTTTAAAATTTTACTCATTTTTTTTATACTATCTGCAACAAGAAAAAGATTTCCAGATATCTAACGAGAAACATTCAGCTAGTGTTGTTATACGGCTCATTTAGCCAATTTTTAAAAAGGTTTAACTCAATATTTTAGCCAAAAGTAATTTACTCAGGTTTATTGATTTCGCCCAACAGATGCAGAAAGATTTGGACGCCTGTTGGCGAAATTTCTAGGTTTAGGTAATAATATTTTAAGCGAAAATCTTGATTTAGCCCCCATTTAAAAATAGGCTAAATGGAGCTGTTTAACAAGACTACATTCACCCCATAAACATTGAAACTATTTTAAATGAGATTATTAACTTTTGGAGAATAAAACAACAAAATATACATTATATTGATTCGTGAAAGTTGATTGGTTTTTTCTGAATATTGATATTTTTATGACATTGGCTCAAAGACAAATGTTAAATAAAAATCAATATATCGAATCCGTTCTTTAGCAATATCGGAAAATATCGGATTGGTAAAAAAATTTGTGGATTGGCACAACCCTAAAAGAAAATTAATAGTACCCTTTTTCTTTCTGCATTGGTTTAGTAATTTGTAGATGTAATTTTAAAAAAAATAAATTCATAGCTCAATGTGTGGCTAAAATATTTTTTTTGGAAAATTTATGTAAGTTAATTATCAGTTTTGGAAGTTTAGGTATCATTACATCGATATATTTAATAGGTATATAGGGTTTAATCGGTATTGCTATATTTTGGAATCTCCAGGGAAGGGAGTATCAGTGCAGCATCTAATAAGAATTAAGAGGAAATTTACGTTATACTCATCGAATTTGTTTTTCAGCGGGTTATAATAATCCTTGATGCTAGAGTTCGTCATCATGTAATCTTGGCTATATCCTAGTCTTCTCATTAATAAAGCTATTTAAATGAAAAATAAAATAAATTAATTAACAGAATAAGAAATCTAATCTTATATTTGTAAAGTTCAAACAAAAAAGTGTTTTTTTTAAAAAAAAATTAATTTATTATTGAAATTTTCGAAATCGACTTTGGACGCGTAATGTATAAATGCGAGAATCATTCATTTATTTTTTAATATTTTTTATGTACTTTGTGTGCACCCTAAAGTGTCCCTTTTCAATACTAATTAGATGGTGAGATACTGTGTTTGCAAAAAGTAAAACTACACGTCTAAAAAGGCTTATAATTATAAATAGTCCTATGATTTATAATAAGTTAGCCAATCTAAAAAATTATATTTTATTTAAATGATAAGTTTGTCTTAAGTATTAAAACTTGTTAAATATAGATAAGTTACAAAATTTCTTCTTTAAAGCCACTTAATACTTCCATATTTTGATAAAGGATTTTGCCTTTGTATGCTATAAATTCATAATCTGTCATTTTAGGAGCATTTAACTTTGAATTCAAGATCAGCTGATAATTATTATTATCTTTATAAGAATATAAGACTTTCCATATTCATAATATAATATAGTATTTATACAACCATCTTCCCAAGTCCATATTCATTATATATAATTAAAAATTAGACCCGGATCTTTCTCTCCCAAACATGCAAATGTTCTTTTTACACTATAAATTTATTCAACAAAATATTCCTGTATTTATATCCTTAATCTAGAATGTTTAGGATCATTCTTATATCTATATGAAATCTAATCTATTATATCAACAATATGAATCATTTATTTATTATCATACCTACATAAGTTAAAATATAATCATTTACTGTATTTATTCAACAAAATTTCCAATTTTTAATTTCTTTATTCAAGAAATTAGTTTTAGATCATTCTTATTTATAAATGTATATTGTTCTCAATGTTTCTGGATTTTCTTATACAACTAAATTTTCTGATATAATTTTTATTATTCCAAAGTGTTTGTTGAATTCTTATTTTTATTTATGAAAAAATTCAAAAAAAACTGATATAATTTCATTATCCAAAAATGTTTTGGAGTTCTAATATTTATTTATGGAATCAAATTTATTATTTCAACAACATGAATCCTTAATTTATCGTCATCTTTATGTCTTCATCACAAATCTGTCCCTCATGTCAAGAATTAGTACATATTAGGAAAGATGGATGCTCACAAGTTCATGGACCTCCTTAACTCAGATTTTCACGCCCTGGCTCTGTCCCTTATCAATCTTACGATTATCCCTCCAGAAATATCTGTTCCACCTCTCCACAATTCAAATTCCAGTTTCTCAGAATTTGGCGTATGCCCCATGAGCAGAATCACGATGAAAGGAAAGAATAGCTTTCCTCACTTCTTCTGAAGTAAAAAGAGAAGCACAAGTTGAGTGAGGTTGAGGGGAAATTGGGATAATGTTAGCTGTGGGGTGTTTTTGACATAACTTTATATAAGTGGAAAAGGAAGGCTCAGCCAGAGAGTCATATGTGGAGACCAATCTGAGTGCACCTTTAATATTGAGATTGTCAACTTTCTTGCAAATCAGATTGGCCTTCATCTCTATTGGTGAGTGTTTTCCTTTATTTAAGACAGGCTGTGACATTTTGTATTCATGAAGATGAGGGGTCTTAATCAAAGCAGCATCCATGATTTGCTGGGTAAGGGATTTATGTAAATTTTTGTCAGGCACTATGAAGGTATTATATCCACAGAATAGGAATTTTAGCCAATCATGCTCATTGCTAAAGTTTAGCAATAGAGAGGATAGACATTAGCAAAAGATTTAGCAACAAGCAATCTAGCACCTTTGGGGATCCTAAAATGGTGTCCACACATGACTCTCTGGCTAAGCCTTCCTTTTCCACTTATATAAAGTTATGTCAAAAACACCCCACAGCTAACATTATCCCAATTTACCTTCAACCTCACTCAACTTGTGCTTCTCTTTTTACTTCAGAAGAAGTGAGGAAAGCTATTCTTTCCTTTCATCGTGATTCTGCTCATGATCGGCATACGCCTCATTTTTCTCCAGGACATCATTTCCTCCTCTACATGCTGACTAACAAACTTCTGCAACAAAATTTTAAACGGTGAAGTTCCAAATTTTGTTTCTCCTATCCTCTTTGGTGCTAGGCTAATCGCACTTCAAAACCCAATAATGATATCGTACCAATAGCCATCGGTTCTACCTTACGTTGTTTAGTCGCCAAGATGATATCTCGAATTAAGCATAATGCTTCACGCCTCTTAAGCCCCTTCCAACTTGGTGTTGAAATCCACGGTTACTATGAAGCGGTGGTACATATGACTAGATTATATCTTGAAAATCTTCCCTCTATTGAATCCTTAGTTAAAATAGACTTCTCTAATGCTTACAACAATACACTCTCCCAGAACTCCTTCCTGAGTTCCTCTAGTACTCTTTTTCCCAGTTATACAAAGATACCTTAAAAATTTCTTCCATTGAGGGCATTCAACACGGAGATCCTCTAGGATCCCTATTTTTCTGTTTAGGTATTAATGACATCATTAAATCCATTAATACGATCTGCTCATTATCCTTACATGCTTGGTATATTGATGATGGCATCCTTGGAGGTTTCAATGATGAGGTCAATAATGCCGTGAATATTATCAAGGAGACTGGATCTGCTATCGGACTCTCCATCAATCCTGAGAAATCTGATATCAATTCTATCGAACCTAATTTAAATAAATTCAAACTAACTACCCTTAATGGACTTCATCATTTAGGTGCCCCTGTTACTCTGCTATATCTTCCTTCTTTCAGTCCATGAAACTCTTTTTGAGTTGGCTGATTTATTTTCCCTAATTCCCTCCCATAAAGCCTTTTTCCTCGTGAAATTTTTTTTCAATATTCCCCGTATTCTTTATGCACTTCATTCAACCGCTCCCCATTCCTCTTGGAGTTTATGAAAATGGGGTTAAAGCCCTTATCGAAAATATTCTAAACCTTTGATGAAATTGCAGGGACACAAGCCTCTTTACCAGCCAAGATGGGAGGTCTTGGTCACAAATATCCGTCCAATCTAGCCTTAACAGTCTTCATATCCAGTTGTCTTTTAACAATAAATGTAGTAAATTCTCTTTCATTAAAACCCGACGCTTCTTATAATGATACAATCATCACGAATTATTGCTGATCACCCTCTTCCTGATTCGAATAAGCAGGACTGGTAAGGCCTATTATTGCATTCTGCGTTGAATCACTCCTTTCCAGAATGCAATTATCTGACCGTCCTTTATTCTCCTCACTGCTTAATGGTTCAGGCCATGAGTTCCTTGAAGCTATTCCTTCTGTTAATTTGCAATTACAACTGAACCAAAACGAGCTCACTCACGCGATCGGCATTCGATTAAATTGTCTAATTTCCCAATCTCACACATGTTCTGGTTGCAGTTCTGCCGTTTTGGGTAATGGTAGACATAGACTTCACTGTCGTTCGTGTAAAGGTCGTATTGTTAGACATAATCAATGCAATTCAATCATTCGAAGAGCTTTGAGATCTGCTCAAATCCCCTCTATTCTTGAACCTTCCCCTCTTTTCAGATCTGATGGTAAACGGCCTGACGTGATTTCTCAAATTCCTTGGAAGTGCGGTCAATAGTCTGGGATTACTCATGTATTGATCCACTTGCACCATCCAACCAAACTTTTAATATTCTTGAGTCACTTAAAATAGCGAAATATTCTGACATTTCTCAAGAATACATTTTTATTCCCATCATTTCCACAACCCTTACAACTTTTGGAGAAATGTGCCTTATCTTTTTTTCAAGGAACTTGGTTCTCACATTCGTCAACTAACGGGTGAACCTTGCGAAGGCTTCTTCTTAAGACCACCATAGTGATACACAAGGCAAATTATATAAGCTAGGCAGCCTCATCCCACAAGATGATTTGCAACCGTTCCCCCCTTCTCTTTTTAATTTTTTTCTCCTTAATAATATTATATGTATTTGTTTATTATTATATATTATTTTAATATATTATTTAATGATCTATTAATAGAATATATATTTGTATAAGCTTTTAAACTTATATTTTATTTATTTTATCTTAACTTTTTTTGTAAAATTTTATCATAATCTTATTCAATTTTGCTCATTATTATTATTATTATTATATTGTTATAGGTAAGAATTTAAAATTTATATTAAATATAAGTGAGTATCCAAAAGAATTTCGTGATCTAGACAAAATATTCCCTTATAAATATAATAATATCTAAAGGTTTTAATTATTTTTTAAAGAAAATAATTAAAATCTCATATACCTAGCAACAATGGAATTAGGAAGAAAAACAAAAGGAAAGGACAAGGAAAGCTGCATAGCGATAACCCGTCGTGTCTATGTCTTCGGCGAGCGTATAAGCTTAAATAAGTTTAAAAAATTCATTAAAAAAATAATTGTAGTTGATTTATAAAATAACTCAGCAAAATGAAATCTAGGGTAGAGTTCTAAAAAGAGTGGGGGTTTAGCCAGCCCATTTTAAACAATGAGAGAGAGGCGGTCCACCTATTGCAAACCTCTAATCTAAAGCAATTAAAATTTCAAAAGCTTTAAAGCTTTAAGATAGGGTTCTAAACAAAGGTTTAACTTTCTCCAGGTCTCCAATTGTCCCAAACCGTGCCTGGACTGTTGATGAGCAGGATGCCGTCGCCTAATAGGGTCAGTATAATAATCCGAATCGCCAACTTCCTCCCCAGCGGAAAGTGTGGGGTGATGCTTATTACTCTGTCTGGTTATGCGACGACTTCTCATATCTATTTTTCATAATAATTTAGAAAGAAGATAAAATCTTTTATCTAAAAAGGTAATAAAGCAAGAGTGAAAAAATATAGAAAGATCGATTTCTAATCTAGGTAATGTTTTCAGATCATACCAAGCCTATGGATCAGGAACATACATATGTTTCTGACCATTGCACATGAATGGCAACAAAAATATAATGGCAAATAATAAAAAAGTTAGATGGTAATTTTATAATTAAACTACGTGCTTGATAAATCTGTAAACTATAAAGTTCCGATGACAATGTAACTAATAACCAAATAGGCAGTTAGAATTGAATTTAATAATTAAATATCTTGATAACAACTATTCATTTAACACATATTAAATAAATAAAAAAGAGGTACCGGAGGAATCCATTTGCTGGTAGCCATTACCTTGCCCTCCTTCCCCGACGAAATTGCGCATGCAATATTTGTAACAAGATCGTAGGGTATGGCCTGCAAAATCCCTGAGTCCCATTCCGATTTTGTAAACATTATGACCCACATTATTTATAGAATACAAATTCCTGGTAGCCGAGGAATCATAACTATGAGGGAGGGCTTGTGACCTTAGTCTTGGACTGGTGGAGATATGTGAAGCTGGTGCATTGGTGTGACCTAAAGCAATTATACATTTTTTAAAATAACTGTAAAGAACCAAAATTGAGTAAAATGTTAAATCAGAACCTTAAAAAAGAGTTCTTACATTTTATCCTTGCTAAGAATAAAAATTTTTAAATATCATATTTTAATTTTAAGATTAAAATAAGAAAAATATAACTCTGTTGATTTATACATTATTAGATTTTATTTTTACATAGATAATAGTCCAATGTAATTTTTTTTGTAAATTTCTCATTCATTTTACATTTAAAAAAAATATTGATAAATTTAGAACCCATAAAGGTTCCAATCTCCAATTATAACCAAAAGAAATATGATGATCATTATATTATAATGATTGAAACGTGTTGTGGATTTAAAATCCATGTTCAAATTTAGCAAAAGGTGATTTTGATTTAATTTAATTGCGTGAATTTACAATAAACTATGTGTGGGGTAAGGGGGTTAGTATATATTATAAAGTGGGAAAAGATTAGTTGTGGCCAATAATGTTTTTTTTCTAATTTAATATACAAATTTAAGCTAGTATGCCCAAAAAATCGATTAATCTCATGAGCCAATTTGGTGATATTAGAGAATGGCGAAATCAAATCAATAACAATGAGCATAATATTTTCAATATGCAAATAAAATAAATTTAAATTCAACCTTGTCTCATCCGAGTAACTCCTTTCCTGCCACCTTTCTGAGATATTATATCAATAACATCTTCTGATGTATCTTCGTCTGATGCCACTGATATTTGCCTATTTCTTGTTGAATGTGAAGGAGTGTTAGTATCCACTGTACTTTCATTTAAAAGAGGTTCATGTTCCTCATATCCTTCATTGTTGAAATACGAAATGCTATTAAGAAAGTATTGGGCAGGGTAAACTACAATTCCTAACATGGAGAAAAATATAATTATGTTGATGTATAAAAAGATATCGTAATCTCACTACAGAACTGTCAATCTATTTTTAAACTTAAGGGGAGAGACAAAAAATGAGAACTAAATTAAGATATTAATAATAAATTCAAATTTAAAAATTATAAAAGAGATGTGCTGATTACTGTAGCTTTTTATCCATATCAACACTTAATACAAAACAATTTATTATTGTAAAAAAAATTTTGTTATATATAAATACCCCAAAATTACATTAATATTTCAAATAAATGATAAAGTATGACATTTCTATTATATATTAGCGTGCTATTAAGATATGATGAATAACTTATTAATAAACATAAATGCAGAAAAACTACTTGTCTATTTAATAAATATTTATAATTAGATAGTAATAATATAAATAATAATAAAATTAAGATTAATAATTAAGTTAAGCATACTTGTTAGTGATTTGATTGCATTTATAATATATGATAAGAGATGTATGATGAATATATATAAGCTATAAGTGATCTTCCTGGCATAATTATAATAATAATTTATGTTATTGGAGTTTCGGTGAGAAGGTGGGGGTATATATCTATTTATATTTTCATCAATATAATTTTCGTCATCAGATAAATCTAAACCTGTAAAAAATTACATCTAATATAAGAAAATAATTTATATAGATTACCATAAAGATTTGGCATAGTTCTTGATGTTTGTGTTCCATATGGAAAGTTGGCATGCTTTTTGCTATAATAAGAAGCAGATTTTGTCATATATTCCTCTTTAACATTTGAATTATCTCTAAAAAACAAAATGAAATCCAAAATTTAATTAAAATATTTACCTTAAGGAAGTATCCAAATTTGATTTGATGGATTTGGCTATATAGTTTATTTTAATTAAATATTCAAAAAAAGTTATAATAAATAAAATTACATAAATTTTTAGATCTAGTCCTATCAGACATTTGTTTAATATTTCCTTTTAATAGTTGCCTTGACATAATTGGAATTAAATATTCATCATCATCAAATGAATCGATATTATTTAATGATTCATTGGAATAACTCAAACTTCAAAGAAACATGTATTTTATAAATTTATTGAAATTAAGAAACCTGTTGGAATATGTGTAATTGGTTCTAGGAGATGTAAGTCTTTCAAAACATATTGTATACAGTTTATAATTTTATTAAATACCTTTTCCATATATTATGAATTAAATTATCTCTTTCTGGGCTATTTGACAATTTTCTTTATAAGAGATTTTTTTAAAAAAAAAATAAAATTTAATGTATACTTAATAAATTCGTTCAAGGATTTATTGCTAGGATTAATAAAAAGATTGGGTTGAGATGAATATACCATTATTTAAAGACATAAATTGGTATTGCATCCCTTGTTAAAATTTTTTGTTTTAGAATTTAAAATGGATAGAAGAATTTCCAAAACTTATTGGCACGCAGCATCGTTTGGCTATTATTTATATATAAATAGTGATAACTATAACTAAATTTTATAAGAAGAGCCTTACTATTTAAGATATTTTACACATATATAATATTTTATTTATATTTTAAATGTTGTAATATATTAACAACGAATAATTTTAAGAGTAAGTAAGGGATTTGGCTTTGGTCGTCATATAGCAATTTATTAAAAAACGTAATATATTTGAATAAATTGCAATAAAACTCATTTTTTAAGAAATATTTATTAAATCAGGCGGTCCTCTCAGAATCATTATCCTTCTCTGCAGCCTGATATTTCCTAGTTGTTTCAAAAATTTATACCCAGAACTATTGGATTGTTATAAACACACTAAACCGAGTTAATCATAGACGCTACTCCTAAACCACAATTTTCTGCAAAAAAATTATGTTAAAAAAACACATAAGGATTAATGACGTTAAACGCTATACATCATTCATAGTGCTGTTAAACTGTCCGATTAAGATTTTTGCTAAAATAATATTATTCACGTCTCTAGATTTGGCAAAGAGATATCCAATTCTTTCTATCATCTATAAGCAAAATCTTGACGCTTTCATAATGTTATTTTGGTAAAATCCTAATCGGGCTGTTTTTAACCGTTTAATAAACCTACATTATCATAATTTTGGGCAACAATGAGACATAAGATTGTCTTTGAAAGTGGAGTAGACAAATTATGATGTACAATTTTATCTTTTCACTTTTCAGAAGCCCTTTGCTGAGGCTCATATCTATAAGGGCTAAATTTTGAAAGATTTACACAAAACTTTAAAAAAAACTTAATCAAATTTTAATATTGTAAAAAAAAATAGCAAAAAAACTTACAATTTTAATTTTTATAAAAAATCTATTTTTTTATTTCTCTTATAATTTTTTATAATATAAATGACTAAATAATAATTTATGTATTTTTATTTCGTGAATGATATAATATATTTTTATTTTGTAAATGATATAATATTTTTAAGTAAAATGTATTTTTTCATATTGCATTTTTTTTAAAATGATTAATTATCAGCTAAATCAAGTTCTTTTGCCTTTTCTCTTAAAAATTGCAATATGATATAGTCATAGCTTTTTCATCGTAGAACGTAAATAGTGTTAATACTGAAAACAGTCGTTCGCATAACAATAAAATGTATTATTTAATATTGCATTTTTTTAAAAATTATTAATTATCAGGTAAATCAAGTTCTTTTGCCTTTTCTTTTAAAATTGCGATATGATTTAGTCGTTGCTTTTTCATCGTAGAACTTAAATAGTGTTAGTACTGAAAACAGTCGTTCGCAGAACAATTATTTTTTCATTTTGCATTTTTTTAAAAATTATTAATTATCAGCTAAATCAAGTTCTTTTGACTTTTCATTTAAAATTGCGATATGATATAGTCGTTGCTTACATCGTAGAACGTAAATAGTGTTAGTACTGAAAACAGTCGTTCGCATAACAATATGAGAATTGTTATGATAGCATTATATTAAATTATATACTTTGAAAAATTAAAAATACACTTTCTAAAGATTTAATGTACATTTCTCAAACTTTGAATAGTCTAAGACCATATCACTGTGAAGAAATAGACAGTCCATTTTAAAAATATCTCCAAATGGAAAAATGATTTTCATCAAGTTATTTAATCGATAATTGTTCCATATTAATTAAATAATCCTACTTATTAGTTGAAAATAGTTTTTCTACGGAATTATATCATCTAAAACTATAATTTGACAATATTCATTGACAGACTTGAAATTATAATATAAATTCTAGCTTCTTCGAATATTAATGGCATTTTTTCTGTCGATTTAGAATGAATTCCTCTAAATATAATTGAAGATGCAGTTTAATTAATAATTTTTGAACTTTTCTTAGTTATATTTACTTTAGATCAAAGTTATGGCAGTAATATATTGCCTAGTTGTTGTGCAAAATTCTACAGTGTGAGATTATATAAGTGTAAATAAGGTTATTACAATGTCGGCTAGCATAGAATTATTAAAAACGATCAAATTTATTAAAATAGAAGTATATATACATTTTTCGATGTAAAGTCAATCCCAGGTCCTATCTGCATTTCTGACCCTAACTCTACCCCACCCTATTTACTATGCTTCCTACTCAAGGAATCTTGTTTTCTCCAAAAAAAAGAATTCTTATTTGCCTTAAATTGATTGAACACGTGCACTCATGATATCATATTTTAACATCTGTTCTACCTATCGCTTGTAAATTTATATAGATATTTATATAAAAGGATATTCACGTCGTTATCCTAAATTTAATGAAAAAACACAAAAAAAGAAAAAGGTGTGACATACTTTCAAAAACTATTGGATTAGTATTTATTAGACTCTTTTTAACAAATTATTGCGAATAATAAAAACATTTTTTTGGCAAGAATAATATTTTAATTACTCGTTTGGTATCATCAGTAAATTAATGTAATTAGTAAATTCGAATTGTTAACTAATGGAATAATTCAAAATTAAATCATTTATTAATTAAATGATTTTTATTTAATTTAATACATATAAATTATAAATTAGAATAGTTTAATATAGGAATATATTGAATTTGATATACAAACAATGTATCCTAAATCTAATTAAATTTATAAATATAAAAAAAACTTATTTGTTAAGTATATTTGGAAGAAGAAAACCTTTTTTATATTCTACTTCTTTCTTTACTATACTAATTCCTATACACATATATAAGGCTAGAGTGTAGTTCCACTTTACATAACAATTTCTGGGTTACAAGGTTAGTTGGAGGATGGAGTTTCATATAATTCACAATTATATGGAGGATGGAGTTTCATATAATTCACGTATGCTCGCTTTGGGCAGGTCCATGACCAATGGACATAATAAGAACAAGAAGAATTTAAAATCAAGTTCAGAATCGAATAAAACTAGCAATAGTGATTTTTTTGTGTCTTGTTTGTCATTTCCTAAAACAAAATCGAAATTCCCACAAAAATGGATGTATTTCGTCAGAGATGCAGTGATTTTGAGGGGGGGGTGTATATCGAAGGGAACCAAAAGTCAGAATTAATCTGCTAGAGTCGAACTCTGCTAGAGTCGAACATGTTGTTCGGGGCGAAATTTTATGTTTTCCATAAAATGGGAAGTTTTTTTTATTATCAATTTAGAAACATTCTACACCTTTTGAGGATCTATTTTCAGTAAGCCTAATTATAATCACTGAAAAGTCGCATATCTCTAAAAAAAAAAGAAAGTAACAACTTTGAAAACCTTAAGACATTATAAAAAATGAAATTTTTAATATAAATATATTTTAAAACATAGTTACTTCTTGATAAGAATGTATCTGTTCCTATAGGAAAAAAAATTATTTAAAAAGAAATCTTATTTGTATAATTTTATTTATATTATATATATGTGTATATATAATTTTTTCTATATAATAAAAGAGCTTTAATAGATCATCTTCGAAAGAATCTTCATTCAGATTCTCATCAAATTGTATTCTATTTCTATCAGAAAATAATCTGGTATGTGTTTTGTTTTTAAAGTAATCAAGTCTGCTTTTTCTTTGTTAAAATCTTTTCTCAAACTAAGCTTTCTCTCTTCGTCGACCTCTAATTTTATGGGCAATACAATTTAAATAGCGGGCATAGTATATATATATATATTGATCTTTATAGATGTGTTCTAATCTATAGAAAATAAATATAAATTGTAAACAACAAGTACACCTTTTATCTATATTTTGCAGGATTGCATTAATAAGTAGCTTAGAAAACTTAAATTATTTTTAAAAAAATTTTAGTTTTAATATTAGAAAAGTTATCGTAGGAGTGAGATATTCAAAATACATTTTTTTTCTTCGCTCTCTAAAATCGAACGAGCAATAGCAATCTATAACTCAGAAAATCGATTATATATACATAACATGAATTTTAATTAACACCAGCCATATAATGTTCATCAATGAACGATTAGTCATTATCCGATAATCTCTGTAATTCGGATTTTTCCCAAGATTCGTCAAATGTATGGTCATTCTCCTTAATGAGTAGTGTTGTTAAAAAGGGCTATATTTTCAAAATGGCCCGATTAAAATTTTAGCCAAAATAATATTTTGTAATCCTGGAGATTTGGTAAATAGAGATTCTAATTTTTCTGCCATCTACGAGCTAATTCTCCAGGCTCACACAATATTATTTTTGCAAAATCTTAAAAGGGTCGTATTTAAAAATTGTCCCAAATTGGGCAGTTTAACAACACTTATTTATTAATTTCACGGAGTTATGGTTTAATATATTATCTTTCCAATTTTCCTTAAAAATGGTTGCACAGTTTGGAGACTGCCCCTCTCCTCCCATGTTTATTTGACAATTGAAGCAGAAATATTTTAGTTCGGGCATCTTACCCTAAATTTTCTTCATTGGTATAAAAAAAATAATTATATTGGGGATCAGGACAGGGTTAAATCATCTTCACCTGAATAAATATGTAAAACTTACATAATATTCCTTAAATAAATTATAATATTAGAGAATAAGAATACAAATTAACATAGCCAGATTGTTTTAATATAAGTTAGGTTAACAATCTTGACTGAAAATTTATCAACGAAAATTTAAAATTAAAATGAAGGAATTTGGTAGTTGATTGGAATTAAAAACTCGGCTTAAATTATTTATAAAATTTATAAAATATTTCAAAGTTATTTTATAATGCAATAAAATATGTTTTTACAATATTTTTTAAGAAAAAATTAAAAGTAACGATTTGCGTTACCGTTACTCAAAAAAAAAGAAACGCGTTACCCGGTACCTCTAGAAGACGGTAACAAATGGCTTTTCTATATTTTTAAAATATATATTTATTAAAAAAAAATTATTTTCTATTAAATAAGTT